CTGCAAACTTGCTGAGGGTGCACTCAGTCTCCCTGTCTGTGTCATTGATGAAGATCAATTAGACAGTTCTGGTCCCAGTACTGAATGTAGATGACTGTAATGTAATTGTATTGAACCTATTATTGTATGTTCTCTGTGGGTTTAATGCAATATTTGACACTTCCTTTCCAGAGATCGTCCTCTGTATCTTCATGTCCAGGGTCAGACACGAGAATTGGTTGACAGTAAGTATGTAAAGCACTCTGATTTTTCTCTCATTATTTGTGAGAAAGGGGTTTTACTAAGGGTCATTTTGTTATGACCGCTACGGATTTGTACTATAAATATCTCTGTGTTGATAACAGGCACTATTTAAACATTGGTGTTTAGATCTCCACTCTACCTAAGGTGCTGTGTACTGCATTAGTTGTGAAACTAAAACTTCTGATAGACTACAGGGAAGGTGGGGGAAGTGGGTAGGGTTCCTAGGCAGGTACAGCTCTTATGTACGAGTTTATTCTCTGATAACATGCTGAGATCCCATTACAATAGGCGCGTGACTGGGAGACCTTCCCTTTAATGTACAAGTATGAACATTTTTTGTGAAATATGTCTGTTTCCAGTAGAAGCACAACAAACTCCTGTCTTGCCTATGCCTGCTGGAAAAAAAGGAAAGCTATAAACTGTTCAGGTGTTCATTTGTTTTGTGTATCAGTTCATGGGCTTGCCCTCAGTTGTCTCTTGAAACTTGAATTTTGTATCTTCCTTGATTTTCCATAGTCAGTAAACAATTTTTCACATGTTAGTTTGCTCATTCATGCAGATAGAAATTCTATACAAGGTTAATGTGAATGTTTCTACCATTTCCTAAAATGTATAGGCTGAACTGCCCACCTGCATATATTAGCCTAGGTATTAATTAGCCTTTATCAGGTTGGGAGTGGAAAAAGAACGCTGATGCTTCTTGCCATCCTTTGTGATCCAATCCCAGCATGCTAATATTGGGCCCTGCCGTCAGATGCAATCTTTTTGTCTGTAGATCTGCTGTCACAGAACATGGGAAAGAAACCGAATTGTGAAACAGCTAGGTTAATCTGGGCAGTTGACAAGGGACAAAATAGAAATGAATTTCATATTCTGTCCACTAGGAGCTGTTAACCGAATTAAAGAGATAATTACTAACGGAGTAGTGAAGGCAGCCACAGGTTCTAGTCCAACTTTCAACGGAGCTACGGTTACTGTCTATCACCAGCCAGCCCCTATTACTCAGTTGTCTCCAGCAGTTGGCCAAAAACCTCCATTCCAGTCAGGGGTGAGTAATTAATTTATGTGAATTTTATTGAATATCACTGATTACAAGATTTACCTATTAAAAAGCATACATGTAATATGCTGTTTATTTAAAAACAAAACCAAACACACAAAAACCCCACCCAAAAATAAAAAAAACCCAACCTTGCATGTGTGAAAACTGGAGGATTCATCGGACTGAGTCTGAACAGTGAGACTCAGATGACAATAGCCTCCTAAAAGAAAAGGGACGGAGAGAGCAGTCCTACTTACAGAAAAGCAAAGGGCTGACTGCGCCATCTGACACTTAACTGTTCCGACTGTCACAGAAATAAGATTTCTGGCCTCCAGTGAAATGAACATCCCAATTCTTAGAGTGAAATACTAAGCTTTTACTGTTACATTTACAGATGCATTATGTTCAGGACAAGTTATTTGTTGGTCTGGAACATGCTGTACCTACATTTAATGTGAAGGAGAAGGTAGCATGTGAAGGAGAAGGTATCATTTAATGTGAAGGAGCGTTGCTTGCCATCAACTGTAGAGGCTGACTTGTACCTACATTTAATGTGAAGGAGAAGGTAGAAGGGCCTGGCTGCTCCTACTTGCAGCATATTCAAATTGAAACGGGTGCCAAAGTCTTTCTTCGTGGGAAAGGCTCAGGTTGCATAGAACCGGCATCGGGCAGAGAAGCTTTTGAACCCATGTACATCTACATCAGGTATGAGGGTTAAAAAAAACAATTTAAAAATCCCAGTGACCAGTCATGAATGTAGCTTAATGTTTAATCAGTGTGGGGAATTCTTAATTCTGACTGACAATGCACATGAAATAGTTTTTGAACCTGACTTACTTTAGTAGAGAGACCTTTAAGGTGATAAAGTTATCAACCATATGGTGATACGGTATAAAGGTATAACCAGAAGGTATTGCTTTTGTTTGGAACCCAGTAAAGCTGCGTTCTTTTTGGGCTTGGGTTGTGATGTTGAGCTTGAAGGGAAAAATACGAAATGCGTTGACCAATCAAGTCAGTGTTCTGTGTTCTTTTCTTGCAGTATTTAGAATTTAACATGAATTTTCATGTAGAAAATAAATACTTACCGCTTCTGTTCATGATTGTGCAAAATAGCTGCAGAGCTGCTAGAGTCCTGTTGAGGTGACTGGTCACTCATTAAAGGAATCTGGCAGCGGGTTGCTAATGAAAGAAGTAGCTCCCAAATTTGGTGGAAACATTTGTGCTTATGAGGGGTTTTTTTTTTTGGTATATGTTTTCAGTCACCCAAAGCCAGAAGGTTTGGCAGCTGCTAAAAAGCTGTGTGAGAATCTATTGCAAACCGTGAGTAGCTCTTACAAATAGGAGATTTCAGAGCCTGTCATAGCTTTAGCACGTGCATGGCTAATGGGTTTTTTTAACGCTCTCAGCAAAACTGTCCATGTGTTCTGACTTGCTAATAGGTTTTTCCTTCTAAGTACTGCTGTCTAATTTTTGTACAGTGAATAAACATTTCTTGGGATGGAGCTCCAGTAGTGGAATTTTGGCAGAAAAAAATGCAAGTGGTTCCTGAGCAGAACTGGGGGTGGTGGTCAGGGGATTAACTATATGCAAACATAAAGGAATCCTGCTTTTTTCTGACTGCAGTAGCTTCCCTTGCTTTAGCTTTAAATGTTGTCCAGAGCCATGCTGTTTGCTTTGTCTTTCCAAAAGTGATTGCTGTACCAAAAAATTTTAGAAAACCTCTCACATGTACACATGGAAAACTAATCTCAGTTTTTCTTAAATGAATGTAAATAGAGTAAAATACCATGTCACAGTCTTTCTGTTAGTATTGATAATTGTGTATGGGCTTCAAAGTCTCCTTTAAAAAATACATGGAAGCTTTTAGATTCTTTGAGTATTTTATCTCTACTGAAGTAATTAGTTTTCCACTATTTCCTGTGAAAGATTATCTTATATTTTACACAAACCTGTCATGGAGACCGGCAGGATTAGTGGGGTGTTCAGCATGTTTTTTGTGGTGGCTTTGGTTGGTGGGGTTTTTTCAGTTTTTATGTTAGGATTATTGCTGTCTTTGTGCATAGTATGTTCTGTAATCGAAGTCCCCTTACGGTTTTATGACGATGTGTGCTAAGATGCCTTTTGCCTGCAAAAGGTTGCTATAGTAAATGGACATTTATTGTCTAATCTTTGAAAATTCTTTGTAGGTTCATGCTGAATACTCCCGATTTGTGAATCAGATAACCACTGCAGTACCCTTGGCAGGTAAACGTTAGCAATAATGAAGTCTTTGGAGTTGCATTCTGCAGAGCTGTACTTACAGTTGTGGAATTTATTTACCTGTAGAAGTCTTCTAAGTCCTTCAGCTGTAAAGGAGTCCAGCTTCTTTTATATTTAGTTAATAAATTTGATATTTTTGTGACTCTAACTGAAGGTGACCTTTTTTCCCCCCCCTTTCTCTCACTAGGCTTCACACAGCCTGCCGCTATAAATAGTGTACCTTCCCAGCCATCGTATTATCCTTCCAATGGGTATCAGTCTGGTTATCCTGTTGTTCCCCCTCCTCAACAACCAGTTCAGCCACCATATGGTGTACCAGGCATAGTACCACCTGCAGTGCCATTGGCACCTGGAGTCCTAACAACACTACCTACAGGAGTTCCGCCTGTGCCAACACAGTATCCAATATCTCAAGTACAGCCTCCAGCCAGCACTGGCCAGGTACTGCCACAGATTAATTATTTGCCCTATAGTTGTCAACTTACTAATCTGTTTCTTTGCTAACAATAAAATAAAAAGTCGTTCCAAATGGAGAATTCTTCTTCAGGGCTTTTTTTTTTTCTTTTTTATTGCTTTGCTGATGCTTATAAGCAACTAAATTGTTGGTTTGGCTGCTTCATCCTTCGTTTTTCATATTATAGCCACCTGTTAACATAAAGGATATTTGCAGGGGGTGGTCACTTGTTTGTGAAAAGTGTTATCACGGGCTGTGATGCAGCTATGTAGGCACAGTGAGTTTGAGTTACAGATAGTGATTAATTTGAGGTGGGCGCATTCAATAAATTAAATACTTGTTTTATATTTAAGCTGTGAATTTCCTTTTAGCTTCGCTTAGGCTCTGCAAAGAGAAACTAGTTGTGTGTTCTGCTCCTATGTATGAAACTCTACATTGAATTAATACTTCATATGCATATTATCAAATTTTCTTGTGTTTTGTTTTCAACTTCTGCATGCCAGAGTCCACTGAGCAGTCCTTTTCTTCCTGCTGCCCCAGTAAAAACAACCATGCCGACTGGTACACAGCCACAAGTCCAACCCCATCCCCAAGGTCAGAAGAGACGCTTCACTGAAGAACTACCGGATGAGAGAGAGTCAGGACTGCTGGGATATCAGGTGGAATAAAATCGGCAATTTTACTTCACCATCAAAATGGAACCTAGCTGGAGAGAGATTGTTATTAGCAATTTATTTGGCAGCAGTCATGCAAGACCTTTGGCACATGGCAGCAATTGTTACAAAACATTGAGACCATGCTTTGGTTTCTTTGAGTGGATGCACTGTTCTTAAACTGTGACTTATTGATTCATTGGCAGCTTGCTTTCCATACCCTCAATCTTTTGTGAAGAATAGCGGTGCGTTCAGGTCAAAGAGATGACAATAGCGTGTTACTGATTAGTTTAAAGGGAGATTATTTGGGGTTTTCTGGGTCTTTTGGGTGTGCTTGTTTGAGGGGTGGGAGGGAAAGGTGGTAATAACTTCCAGATTTTCCCATTTACCTTTCTTGCAGGTTGCCCTTGAGAGGATTTCAAGAAGCCTAGTTTTAAGAAATTGATTTTATTTTTTTTTAGATAGCAAATGTTAAACAGTTGATTTCACTAAAAATGATTTTCAGTTCTTCAGACTTGTATGTGAGAAAAGAGAGTTTCTGCAAATGCTTTTCTCATAATACACACCTGCTCACAGAAGAAACCCTTAATAAAAGCTTTGCCTAGAGGCAATAAGGAACTGACTATATGTTAGACCTAGTATTAGTATCTTGAGCAGAGTTTACGGTCTATACGGTATTCAAAATTAGCTGATTGAAGAGGTAGTAAGTTGATCTGTGAGCTAAGCAGCTATCTTTACTGTCCTGGGCTACTGAATAGGTGGAGTAGGTGATGAGGTGTCTTCCATATCGGTGCTCAGGTGTGTTTCGTGCTACATTACCGTCAGTATTTTTAGGAGAAGGCATTTTGTTTAACAATGGCAATTAGCGGTTTCTTCTGCTAGTTGGCAATATGCTCTGAAAAGTTGGGTTTCCTATCATTATCATTAAGGAGCTATAGCTTATGTTGTAGTTGTAGATTTGCTAATGCCGTGTGTTTTTCTGCTCATAGCATGGACCCATTCATATGACTAATTTAGGTACAGGCTTCTCCAGTCAGAGTGAAATCGATGGAGCCGGATCGAAGCCAGCAAGTTCCTCAGGAAAGGAGAGAGAGAGGGACAGGTGAGTGATGAAAGAATTATTTTCAGGTCTCTTCTGATTCTGATGGCAAGCTTATCTCAGAGATGATCTGTGTTTCATGGTCTCTTCTGTAGGTTTGGGGGTGGTTTGTTTCATTGCAGATGGCTTTTTAGTGGTTGGTTTTGTCTTGTTTTAAGGAGAAGGGATGCAAGGGTTACCTCTTCATGCTATATAATGAAAACAGCTTTCTTTCTACTCCTCCCTAAGTCTGTATGCTCTTACTTTGTCTGGGTCTGGTATTTGCCAACTTCTTGAGATCTCAACATGATATTTTTGTGAAATAGGTTAGTGCTTACACTTTAAATTATTTCAATTTTAAAACAAATCTGAAAAAGTTGTAAACTTGAGACTTTGCAGCCTGAAGCTTCAGGGAAAGGTTTACTTGATGGTCCCTTTTGTTTTCTGGCCATTATGAAATACATCAAGGGTATTTGTGAAGTTTTCTATGTTCTCCATCTTGTATGTAGTCCTAAATTGAGCATAGCTATTTGAAGTCCTCAGGCATTACTGCTCTTCCTTAGGTACTCCAGTGCATTGAGCCACAAAACTGTCAGGCTTGCATGTTTTTTCATGGCATCATAGCACGGTTTGTGTTGGAAGGGACCTTTAAAGATTATGTAGTCCATTCCTCCTGCTGTGGGGAGGGACATCTACTAGATCAGGTTGCTCAAAGCCCTGTCCAACCTGGCCTTGAACAGTTACTAGGGACAGGGCATCCACAGATGCTCTGGAAGCCCACTATCTCATCACCATTCAGAGAAGAATTTCTTCCTTACATCTCATCTAAATCTGCCCTCTTAGTGTAAAACCATTAGCCCTTGTCCTGTCACTACAGGCCTTGGTAAAAAGTCTCTCCCCATGTTTCTTCTAAGCCCCCTTTAGATATTTAAAGGCTGTAATAAGGTCTCCCTGGAGCCATCTCGTCTCCAGGCCAAGCAACCCTAACTCTCTCAACCATTTTTCATAGGAGAGGTGTTCTAGTCCTCAGATAATTTTTGTGGCCCTCCTCTGGACCTGCTCCAACAGGCCCATGTCTTGTGCCGGGGACCCCAGAGTTGGACACAGTACTCTAGCTGCGGTCTTGAGAGCAGAATAGAGGGGCAGAATCACCTCCCTCAGCCTGCTGGCCACACTTTTTATGCAGCCCAGGACATGATTTGCTTTCTGGGCTGCGAGCGTACGTTGCTGGCTCATGTCCAGTTTTCTGTCCACCAGTACCCCTAAGTCCTTCTCAGCAGGGCTGCTCTCAATCCCTTCATCCCCCAGCCTATATTGATACTGGGAGTTGCTCTGACCCAGGTGCAGGACCCTGCACTTGGCCTTGTTGAACCTCATGAGATTTGCATGGAACCCACTCCTTAAGCCTGTCAAGTTCCCAACATTCTTCCCTGTAATGTACAGGCTGCACCACTCAGCTTGGTGTTACCTGCAACCTTGCTGAGGGTGCGCTTGATCCCACTGTGTATGTCATTGCTGAAGACATGAAATACTCTTAGTCCCTGTGTGGAGTCTTGCGTGACACCACTTGTTTCTGGTTTCTACTTGGACACTGAGCCGTTGACTGTGACCCTTCAGATGCAGCCATCCAGCCAGTTCTTTACCCATCTAATAGTCCATCCATCAAATCCATTTCTATCCAATTTAGAGGTAAGAATGTTGGGGGGGACTGTATTGAAGGCCTTACAGAAGTCCAGGTAGGTGACATCAGTTGCTCTTCCTTTGTCCACTGATGCAGTCACTCCATGGTAGAAAGACACTAGATTAGTCAGACAATTAAAAGTTAAACTCCTCAGGTCAAGGACTGAGTTATGAATTTGTTTGCTATTACCTCTGACTTTCTGCTTGTTTTTAAAAAAGAAAAAATAATGGCTTGTATTGGTTTAAATAGGCAGTTGATGCCTCCGCCAGCTTTTCCTGTCACTGGGATGAAATCAGAATCTGAAGAAAGAAATGGTGCAGGGTCTTTACCAGGCAACCATGGTAAGTGCAATGAATAAAATACACTTGTATGTAAGGTTTCCTTTCCCGAATGAGTTTGTGCTGGTCTTAACATTCTTTTAAACCGGTGATTTTTTTGCCTGTTTGTACTGCATTGTTAAAGTGAAAAGCAGGTTGTATTGCACTGCTCTGAAATCACTTGTGTTCACTGTGATTATACATACATGACGCTTCTCTTAAAACTTTGATAAATTACTGTATGAATGAGGAGAATGTAATTAAGTGAAGGACTAAAGACAGGTATTTTTGACCCATCAGTTAGCTGAGGCACAGAATCTCATAGGATTGTTTTGTAACACAGATATCATTGTGGCTTTACACTGAACAGCTATTTCTAGAGGCACTAAGGAGTATCGGTGGGAGTTATGGTTCAGGTGTGTATTTACAGACATGAGTTATGTCTGCAAACAACATAAGTGCTGTCAGATTTCATCCTTTCATAGGGCTGTCACACATGAAGTATTTGCAGCTTGGTAAAACATGTAATCTCCTGGTAGTTCAGTGCATTTCAAGTCCATGGGTACATGATGTTAGCCTGTTTAACCTTAGTTTTTCTGCAGTATTGGTCCCAGAGATTGCTCTTCTGTTAGCTTTCTTTTGAACAAAATTTCTGCTTTTCTTTACATACTTATCTCTTTAACGGTGAAATTGCCATCACTTAGACCCATTTGCTAACTTTACCTTTTTTTGTGTGTTTCTTTCTTCTTTCTCTGTTCTCTTACATGGTTCTGATGGATCACATGTGCTGTTGCTGGTGCTGTTTCCTGTGGCCTTCGACCTTGGATGACCATTGGCTTTGTGACCTCAAAATGGTGTCCAACTAACAATTTAAAATTAACGTCCTTTTTTTTTTATTAACTCGTTTTGGGGCATTTTATCTCTTTATTTTTGTTTTTCCTCCTTGGGGGCTGGGGGGATTGTGTTTTTTCGCCTCCTAGATCATCAAGCTAAGAAGATGAAAACTGCAGAAAAGGGTTTCGGATTAGTGGCATATGCTGGAGATTCCTCAGATGAAGAGGAGGAACATGGTGGCCATAAAAACGCAAGTACTTTTTCACAGGGATGGAGTTTGGGATACCAGTACCCTTCCTCACAACAGCGAGCTAAACAACAGATGCCATTTTGGATGGCACCATAAAAGCTGCAGAAGGTTTTCATTCACTTTTTTTTTTCCCCTCTAGCAATAATGCATGTATATTACAGAATGAACTTTGCAAATATGCGTTGTTTTTACATTTGCAGAAGCTAAAGGTTCAGTATTCCCCCTTGAAAGGGCTCCATTATTTTTAAAATCCTTATTTCTGCAGTGAATTTGTCAATTAAAAATGAATTTGAAATAGTATTCTGACAGGGCTAGTCCCTTATACAATGGGGAAATACTGTAAAGAGAAACTAGGGAAGCCTGTCGGTCTGCATTTCCCATTTTTTCCAGGATAATTTAAAAATTGAAAGAATCAGTCATGCTGACTTCATGCTACACGTGGTGTTCATATTTTATTGAGTGTTCCTGCTGTCAGCCTGTGTTTGCAGTCCCGTTGAGCTAATGGTGACCCCGGCTTTGGGGTCCAGTGTTCGGACTTTCAACAAAGGAAAGGAATATACAGTAGTACTGAGAAACTTGAGGATCACGTTTCCTAAAACTCTTAATTTGTTTTTACTTTAAGCATCTCCTGTAACTCGGCACTGTTTTTTCTTTAAAATCTGGTTTTACTAACCCCGCAACTTCTTGTTCTAGACAGATGTTGGGGCAGGGGGTTGCTCAGCTTTTTGGATGGGTTCATCTTGCTGATAATCCCCAGGTGGACTTGGTGCTGTAGCACTGGTGTTTAATCTTCTCCAGTCACCCCTGGATTTGTTTCCGTTCAGCAGTTCAGATACGACTCCTCCTGTTGAGGTTCACCCCCATCTCTTAACTCACTCACTTACTTGATTCTACCCCTTCTGTTTCACGGTGGTTTAACAAAAAAAAGGCAGGTCCACGCAGCGCCAGGACTCCAGCGCAGGCCTTGCTCTTGCCTTGAAGCGCAGAAGTGGAACCTGGGCATAAGTTGTTGGATTGTTTACGGACATGAACTGCAACACAGGCTTTCGTAGCGGGGCGGGCTGTTGCAGAAAGGACTCTTTTGTATGGAGAAGTGATGCGTAGGACTGTGAAGAGATGCCGGTCGGCTTTTGAAAGGGGAGAAAGAGT